AAAGTTAAAAAAAGCTCTCACAGCATTCATTCATAACTTAATATTTTTTTCATTTCTTTCACTGAAAGCATCAAGAGTTGGGCGACAAAAAAAAGTCTTAACTGGTCTACTTCCTTTCTTTTGTAGCACAAAGTACGCAACCATCCCGTTTTAATTTCATTCCCCGCGAACGCCTGGGTGCCACGTACGGGCGCTTTAAAAAAATATGCAAATTTTTTGGCAGGAAAGCGGTCTCGGGAATCACACGAACTAAAGCTAAAAATGCTAAAATTGTAATATCTTAAATGCAACAAAAAAATCCTTGACAAAATTGTTAATATCAAGCGCACCATGCATTTTCAGGAGCGTTGGGACGCAAACAGCTGGAAACAACGTACAAGTAGAACCACGAATACCCCAGGGCATTGCTGCACCTCCAGCAGCGTATAGGCCGATCAACCCACTGCAGTACCGTCCGCCAAATTTACCGCAACTACAGCAACGTCTCGCGCCGCCAAATGGCGCTTCGTATAAAGCACCATCCGAACGGCTAATCTAAATCTTATAAATGCTTCTTGGCATGAATTATTTGGTTACGGATCGAATAATAGCTTCAACTTTAACTGAAAAAATTGTTGTATTTTGACGGAAATGTCAAAAAATAAACGATCTCGCTGAAAATTCCGGCTACAGAGTAAAACCGGTCAAGTTTGGTCGCATACCAAACATCAAGCTCACCTAGCACAGCTTTATGTTGAACAGCGAAAAATCACTTCCTTCACTGAAACAACAAATCCTTCTACGATTCTTTCATTCGTTTCCATGTAAATTGGGGGTCAAAACCCGTCATTAATTTGTTTCAAAGTAGTCGCTGGGAAAGTAAATCATTGACAGTCCGGTCAACAGGTGGTGCTGTGAGCAGTTGTTACTGCTAAGGACTACTTTTTAACGATACCGCCGCCTATAATATTGAATACGAAAAAGGTTTTGACCTTGACTTTGACCACACATCAAGCTTACGGCCATCGAGATCGCGTAAATTATGCATGTTGAAAACTGCTGATGCTTCCCGGTTATTGTTTTCTGGTTTTGAAGAAAAAAATAAACAAATATATATTATTTCTATTCTAAACTTTTGTTATTTAAGTGAGCCAAGACTACTGTGAAAAGAAGAGGTAATTTTTAACTATCACATGCAGAGAAGCAAAGTCACAACACAACATAATTCAGACTAGCGAAATCTGTACAAAACATCAATTTGTAAAAATTAGCAAGATTTCAAATGCTCAACACAAATAGGCACTCGCAAACAAAATACCAAATTATCGTAAACAAATATGAGCAAAATTACAAAATAGTAAATAAGAAGGCAGATTTGTTCACAGCAAAGCTGAACCCGATTTTATTTTCAGTAAAGCATCCGAATGAACAGTGGATCAAAAATCACTGATAATCACCTCGATAAGATTTTTGATAACTACTTTGATCAAATTTTGCAAAGCATTTTTGAAAGTTCTTCGATTACAAAGCGAAAGTTTCAAAAACACCAGATCAAAATTTTTCATTTCTCAGTGGCCCATTATTCCAAGTTAATTTTTCAGATGTACAAATATTTGGAGTTGAATCCAGCTGCAGTTCAAAACGGGCCTTCTGTTTGGGTGATTTAGTAGGGTGATTTAGTAGAGATTTTGTCTGGGTGACTTAGTAGAGATTTTGTTAACTACCAGCACAACGATGCGTAAGCTGGTAATAAAGAACTTTTAACCCTACTGTTCTCCTTATCTGATTCAACAATTCCACCAGAGAAAAGGGCAGATTAGATGAACCACACGCTAACAAAAATCTTAGAGCCTTTCTCAAAGTTTCACTTAACTAAGATTTTGCATTTCGGTAAGTTTAGCATAGAGTCCTTTCATTTGCAGTAGTTCCTGATGAGTGCCCGCCTCAGCCACAGTACCATCTTTGATTACTACAATTTGATCGGCATTCTGAATGGTAGATAAACGATGAGCTATGACAATACAGGTACGACCGCTGCAAGCACGATCCAACGCCTCCTGTACTACCTGCAAGAAATTAAGACATTAAAATCAAACAGGAGCTGTCAAAAATTTTTAGAAAAGAGCTCAGTCGTATCAAAAGTAATCGAAGTGGACATTAGAGGGGTAAAATCAGGTGGGTCGCTTCCTTTTGTTGAAGATTGAAATATTACCGCTAGAATTAGCCGATAATTCTGTCATGGCGAAGATAATTTTTTGCTTAATTATCTTAACTGTCCTCAGTTAGCCTATGCTACGAGCGCTTGCTAATCATGTATAAGAAAAAAGCTGAGATGCATCCAAAATCCTATTGTTCATTAAACGAAAGAAAACCATTTCCTATGATTTGTAACCATTTTAGATAAGCAAAAAGAAAAAGGAAATCAAATCACATGCCTTTTCGCTTTCGGAATCCAGAGCACTGGTAGCTTCGTCCAAA